GATGGGCGTGTAGGGGGGAGGGGGGGAAATTTTTGAACAAAATTTTGCGTATGTACTTTGTGCACGCCGCCTTAGATGTGAAGTGTGGTGAATCTAATCCCTAAAATTATGTTTGGAGTGAGTAGTGTTGGGACCCCTTCCAGTCTTTCACTTAATTTTTTTAATTAAGAAAGTTATTTATGATTTCAATATTAGAATAAATAATTATTAAAATATTTTAAAATAAACATTCAATTAATGAATAGCCTTATTGATTTAGTACATTGCAAACTATTTTCACTCATACATGTGTTTATTGATAATGCAGTATCTATTTAAATAAGTGACAGTAATGTGACATTACTAATGTCATTAATTATCAATTACATTTACACTGATTGGTTATTTCAGTGTTCATTAGTTTTCCAACAAAAAATCTTTTACATTGGTGAAATTACTGTCACTTATTTAAATAGATACTGCATTATCGATAAACACATGTATGAGTGAAAATAGTTTGCAATGTACTAAATCAATAGGGCTATTCATTAATTGAATGTTTATTTAAAAATATTTTAATAATTATTTATTTTAATATTGAAATCATAAATAACTTTCTTAATTAAAAAAATTAAGCGAATTGATATATAGATAACAATATAAATTCTGTGATATATAATGAATTGTTGGATGATTCATTAGCATTTATCACTTTTAAATGTATGAAAACATTTACTACAGTAGTGCTAAAAATATTTTTAAATATAGTACTGTATAATAAGAGGGATTGTATGATGTATGAAACTGATGATGTGATTAGTAGTTATCATAATCACGACCAAAACAACAGTCCGTTTAAAACACAAGACATCGATGATGAGGACCCGACCCTTACCTCGTGTGGCATAGGCTCGTGGCGACCCCAATGGCTACAGGTGTTCGCGAGTCCCATATACTTCACAATGAACTTTGCTATCGTAGGGGTCGTACAGGCCATGACCGGTAGCTTTTTGGTCGCCTCCATCAGTACTCTAGAGAAGAGGTATGCCTTCGACTCCAAGATATCTGGATATATATTCATCGCCGATAATTTTGTACAAATGCTGGTCAGTGTTGCTTATACTTTATCCTACAGTACAGTATATGATAAAATATACTGTATAAGCAAGATTTTAGCAATAAACATTGGTTATAAGTTATATATATAATTATTTTTCAATCATAAGGTCAGTCCCATAATTGGCTATTTAAGCAATCGGTTCAATAGGCCGCGTATGATAGCCACGGGTGAACTTATCTTAGCCCTGTCCTGTTTCATTAATGCAATGCCATACTTCATATACGGTCCGGGGACACACCTACTTCACGACGACAACCTGCTGACCAAATTGGCCCTCAATGAAACCCGTTATGAGATGTGTCCGGCCAATCAAAATGACATCGACTGTTCCGGTGGGAAGTACTCGACTGTATGGGGGGCTGTTATCCTATTAATAATCGGCAGCTCTGCCCGAGGCCTGGGATATACAGCCTATTCTGTGATCGGAATGCCATACATCGACGATAGTGTCCAGAAGACTAACTCTCCCCTATATATTAGTTTTCTCTCATCAGTGAGACTCATAGGTCCGGCCATTGGCTTCATTTTATCCTCAATAGTACTGCGATTCTATGAAAATCCATTTTGTGAGTACATTAGTAGTAGTAGTGAACCATTTATTAAGAATATTCTGGTTTCATATGAAACCAATAGATATTCTCTGCAATATTAGTCGTAGTTATAAATATATTTTAAATATAAAGTGTAATTTAAATAATACTCTAAACCAAGTTTGCAATTATCATTCCTTTTTAAAATTTTCAGATGACCCTGGTATAACTCGAAGGGATCCCCGTTTTGTAGGAGCATGGTGGATTGGATTTGTTGTAATAGGATCGTTACTATTCATTGTAACCCTTCCCATGTTTTTATTCCCAAAACAATTCAAAACAGCGACCGTTAAAGTGAAAGATCTCAAGGAAAATGTCAGTGGAGTTAAAGGTATGAATGAAGTTTATACACTCTTTAATGTTATCCAGGTTAATACATATAATTATCTAATTATATTCGTAGGAATAATTGCTTGCATCAAACGTTTGGTTAAAAATCCTATTATAATGTTTCATATGATTGGAGGAGTGTTTCGATACATAGGTTTTGGCGGATATTTAATAAACAAACCCAAATATATTGAGTCTCAGTTCAGACAATCGAGTTCAGGCGCCAGTTTCATAACCGGTGCCACATCTGTACTTCCCATAGCAATCGGTATCATATTAGGCGGAGTAATAATTAAATACATAAAACCCCGACCCCTCACACTTGTTATATACATGTTTGCTATCGAGTTGGTTACCAACGGAGCTCTGCTGTTTGGTATGTTTACCGGTTGTCCATCACTTAACCTGCCCTCCACTGGACTTACACCCGATAATCAGTAATTATTTTATAAATTTTGCATATTATAAGTTATAATAATTACTTTTACTAATTATATTCTCTATGAATACTATATTTTACAATAGATTTTCATTGAATTCTAAATGCAATACCGGTTGTGAGTGCACGACCAGAGTATTCACACCAATCTGTGCCGAGGATAAGATGACTACATATTTCTCGCCGTGTTTTGCAGGCTGTAATAAATTGAACAGAGCATCAGGGGTATTGTAATAATACTGCTAAATTATTTAATTTGAATATTTAATTTAAACATTATCTGCTAATTATTGTTTAATATATTAATTTTGTAGACAGTGTCCGGGTGTTCATGTATTGGTGATTACGAGGGTGGGGGTGGGGGTGAGGCCACCACAAGCTTCTGTCAAAGCGATACCGATAACTGCAATAATTTGATGCCATATTTAATTATGATGACAGTTTCCAGTATAATATTGTCTACTACCGGAACTGGCAATGTATTGCTTACACTTAGGTATCAAATATTTATGAAATCATTTTTAATATTAATAAATCACAGTTAATATACTGTTTTTATAGAGCTCTGGATCCGAAAGACAAAAGTTTTGCCATGGGTGTGATGGGTACTTTTATGGCTATATTTGGTAAGCATTATATAGTGCCTTTATTATCATGAGATTTAGCAAATAGTTTAAAATAAATTTAATAAATTAATAGACAAAACAATTTTTACCTTTAACTCTATGTTAGCTTTCATTCCGTATCCGTTAATATTCGGAGCGGTAGTCGACTCGACGTGTTTGGTATGGGAGAGCAAGTGTGGGAAGACTGGTAACTGTTGGATATATGACCAGGATAAGTTCAGGTACTACCTACACGGCACGGCACTGGTATTCGTGTGTGTTGGCTCATTAATGGATTTGGGTATCATTTATAACGCCAAACATATTAAAAACTTTTACGACGACTCCTATGATACCAAAGTGGAAAAGGAGACCACAAATGGTGACAATAATAATGTGATTGCAATGACTGGTGTGACACTCAAAGCAAATGATGTCGAAACCGATGGTGTTATATAAAAATATTTATTGACAAATATGACAATACTTTATATTATATTATATTTTATACAATGCACTATTATTATTGTTATTTTCACAATGTTTAAAATAAAAATAATAAACATATATATACATTACTATGAACTATAGGTAATACATTGGTCAGTAAGTTAAATAAACTGTATTTAAAAACAGATATTATATCATTTTAATGAAATAATTTTCAATATAATTGAATGTTAATTAGTTTAAATTTAAAACTATAATTAAACTATTATTTATAATAATGTATTAACTATTAAATTAATTACATAATATTGACCAATGTATCAATGTATTACCTATAGTTGATAATATTTTATGTGCATTTGGACTTATCATAGTTTGGAATCGGGCCACACATATTTTAATTAAATAAAATAAAAATATCTGGATTTTACTGGCTCATTTATTTGGATTTTAACATAATCAATATACAGTATATATCCACTTTAGTCTGAATTCGTTAATAATTTTGTGGGAGAACATTTATTCAGCCTAGAGATTTATTCAGAAAATTTATTGGTAGAAAATAATGTTGGACAGCCTACGCCATACAGCAAACAAAATGGTTGGTCGCATGTCTGCTGTCTAACAATCGGTAGGTCTTTGGCGGCGAACTCATGGTTACAGGTGAAGGCCATAAGCAGCGCATATCGGGTCCCGGAGGTGACCCTCTCGACGCGGTGCCGGTTCTCTGAGCCCGCGGTGTACGCCACGAGGCGTCCCAACTTAGGCTCAATTGTTGTGTTCGACATCTGGTCGGCGAATATGAAGCGTCCGCCCGTGAAGTCCGCGCCATATGTCGACAAATACAGCAGAGAAGTGAAGAGATCGAATCGATTCTTCCTGTCAACGTGTCGGAGCCAATACTTGTCGAATCTCATTTGGGCCCTCTTCGCCGTCATCCTCGAGAAATACGTCGGATTTGTTAAGTAGAGCTCAGCCCAAGGGATCCCGAACTGAATTGCAATCGTTTTGCGGATTCTGTTCGTCACCCGTCTGTAGACTTTTAGGTCTTTTTCGGTGAACAGCTCTTTCAGGTCCGCCTCCGTTCGTTGTGTCCTTTCAATGAGTTTATAGATATTCACGATATTAGTTGCCATCCAAAGGTCGCCCGAATGTAAGCTGAGGAGAGAGTGGCCGCCCGAAGAGCCGCCCAATGATAGGCCTCTCTTCGCGACTGACAGCAAGTGTTTGGCTTCCGATTCAGTGATCACCGAATCGGACACAAAACGTCCGCATCTTTGAGGAACACAAGACGGGAACCGAACTCTGTCTGCGGTATAGTCTTGAGAACACATCACTTGCTGTGCGATCGGAGAACCCGTTATGGATTGAGTGACCGAAGCCATCACTAGCTCTTTGGTGTCATTGCATTGTGTCGTGTAGTAAACCACTGCAAGAATAGTCATCGAGAGCGCCATTCCGCTCATCACTCGCTTTATAATACTCTGGTTTTGTGGTCTTTCGGACACTTCTCGAGACACCACTCGACACACGTTCTCCTTATTTGTGTCGCCATTCCTATTGACAACTCTTTCACGTCGATTGAGTCCATCCGAAGACATTGTGAAAGCAATGAATTGATAATCCAATCAAATATCACTGAAAGCCCAGAAAATAGATCAGTCCTGATCCAGATGTGTCCAGATGTTCCTTTCACAAATATTGTTACATTTTTGGGTTATTAATGGATTAAAAAGTTTATGTAATTAAAAATATGGTTTATTACAGGCTAATTAAAAAATGTTTAACCCATAAACGGCCGCAAAAATAAAACAATATTTGTGAAAAGTAAATCGGACACATCTGCTCAGGACTGAAACAGATACGACTGTTTTGAAGTGAACCAAGGATTAACAGACAATTGGATGATAATCGAGATTCTAGAATTTATCATAAATTAATAAGACCTACTAAATTTACTAATATGACACTGCCAGACTAATATGAATTAGTCTGATTCGGTTACATATGTGTGACTGTCAATAAGAAACGGTTTTGTTTTTAACATTAAGAACTAAGACTGTAATTCATAGCACGTACACAACACATTCAATGAAGTTTTGCACAAAAGTTAATTACAAATATAATTTATTTAAACCACAATTAAATCAATATTTAAAAAGACAACTAATTAGTATAAAATGTTTGATTTTCTGGTTTCAAGTATTCAAGTAATGATAAAATATCTTTAAATTTTTCTTTAGAAAGAGTCGATTTTTAGAAATGGAAAATGAATTGTAGGTCAAATAAACGACTCCCTTAGTGTTACAGCCTTACACTTAAGATTTTTAAAAAGTATTACCTATAAATAAACATGATGACAAATTTTTCCTTTTTTGACATGCATTTTGGTCTTTAAGGATCAAGTATCACTTATACCGCATTTGAGTGGACGTACTTTTTGGATACCGTCAAATTCACAAAAATACTCTAAACTACCGGCGCCTCCAAACAAACAGGACTCATATATTCGGTGATGGACTCGAGTCTTAAGCCTACTTCTTAAGCTGGGAGTCATACCTCTATGTTTAACATGTGTTGAGAAATTTACAGTATCTATACATGTATTGTACGATACAGTACGGTAGTATACTATACATGTATATTAATTACTGTAACTTAATATCGAATGAAAGCAAATGTTTAATGAAAATGAAAGGAATTTGCAATTAAAAAGTGGAGCTGGAGTTGTGGACCTGGATGATAGTTTATGTGATGATACCATAGAGGGAAATACATGTCTAATACGATTAAAACCTACATTCATTTATCAAGTGTATTGTACAATATATCACTACAGTACTAATACAGTAATATTTTCTAACTGTTCAATAAAATGCCCATTTAAAAACTAGTTGAATGCAATATAATATGAAACAATTACAATATTATCCATTAATATAATTTATCCTGAATGTTACACAAAAAAACTATTAATTACTTATATTATACATTTTGTAACCTCCACCAACTATCCCCACCACATATCCGACCACCTCCACCAACAACCCTACCGGATATGTGGGGAGGAGGTCGGGTAGGGTGATGGGTAGGGTTGTTGGCGGAGGTGGTCGGATATAATTGAAATAAAATTGAGAAAAATGATCACTTATTCGGTTTATTTACTATCAATATACCAATCAATTGTCGCACTTTTATCTGTAATATAATCTGTCGACGACTGGGAGGTGTTGCCACCACTGACTAACCAAAACTGTCAATGGATTTCGTGTGCACTCAACATCTGCTCCAATGCCTCCGTAAACCTCATATCCAAGCCATGCGTTTCATTGCGATCCGCACAAGACTTCACGTCCGGAGCCGACTCTCGAGTTGTTTCATTGGTCAGCGCTTTGGCCACACCTTTGATCTCAGCCACGGACTTGAGGGACATTAGGTATGGAGGCATTTGATGGTCGCCTCTCCTTTCTTCTCTATTTGGCTGCCGTTTTGGAGACATCTCTCGTCAGCACTTATGGCGTCCGTCGAGCTATGCCTTGAGGCCTCTCTTTGGTCACTGTTTTGCGCAAATATTTTAGAGTTTCTCATTAGAAAGCCCTTTGAAATGGTTGTTACCACTCGTGCCCCCAGAAGTAACAAAACTATTTATTACGGAATGAAGTGACAAGTGAGTGGACAGTCGAGAACTGGCAAATTGACCTAAACTTAAATAACTTAATGACCAATAGACTTTTGAC